TTCGAGGCACCCCTTTTTCTATCCGACGGCATCCTATGTGAGTGTGGCTGAGGCTCACTCATGTTGGTATAAGTCCATATCATGTTTTCATATCATTTCATCGCATTCTGCCACCGCCTCAGTTTGCATGCCCGTGTGCACGCATTTCGAGGCACTCCATTTTCATAGCATTTCGCCATTGCCTCGGTTTGCGTGCCCGTGTGCACGCATTTTGAGGCATTTCATTTTCATTGCATTGTGTATGCCATCGCCTCGGTTTGCGTGCCCGTGTGCACTCATTTCAAGGCGTCTCATTTTCATTGCATTCATGTATTTTCTCGGTTTGCGCGCCTGTGTGCACGCACTTCGAGGCATCTCATTTTCATAGCATTGTACATACTAGGTTGTATCTTAGATTACATTCTGTCATTTTCTCGGTTTGCGCGCCCATGTGTACGTATTTCGAGGCATGTCATTCCATAGCATTGTGTATGTTAGGATTGTATCTTAGTTGCATTTCATGCATATCATGCATATTGCATCGTGTCCGGAATAGGAGTTAGCCCGGGCACGGGAAACGAGGTACATTTCGTACTCCGAGTGACGGAACGTGTCTCAATTCCAACCAGTCACCGACAACTCCGGATTATCCATGATGGAGTTAGGTTTTAGCTGTAGTTTTCATGTGCATTCATCCTATATTGAGTTGTGCATTTCGGCTCCTCGGCCATCATGCCTCGGTATGCGTGATTGGTGGCACGAGGATCGAGACATGCATATATCTGTGCAAATACATTGCTATGCCCCTTTCCTGCTCTCTGTTGCAGCAAAACGAAGAATCAGCAACTTTTCGGGGCTTGGCACGCATTTCAAGAACAGGTGTAAACAGAGGCTAATTGGGGCATTCCGGTGGATTTCCGCGCAAGACAACCCGGACATGCATCATCCATCAGAAGCAAGGCAGTCCCTGGCTTGCATGCCAGTTTTACCGCTTTCTTAGTTAATTCATTAATTAATTAGAAATTTGTACATTATTTGGACTGTAATATTTTAGGATTCTGTAATATTTGGACTGTATATTTATTCGGCACCTCCGAGTGAGGGCACAACTGTAATAAGTGTGCGTGAGTGTGATGTATGTCTTCCAACCCCACGTCTTTCTCCTTTTTATTTATCCGCTTATGATGGTTAGATTATGGCATATTTAAATTAGCATACAGTATGACAGCATGTTTGCATCATTCATCTGTATTGCATGCACCGGGCTCGGCGCATCATACTAACTGCATTGTACTTTCAATTTCAAAGTTGAATACATGATAGCTGTAACATTTCATACACCATCTTAGAATAGCCGAGCCTGCTATAATTGCATTTTGTATGTGTTGCATTAGGCATTTCTGTATAATTAGGATCATACATGATTTCTAATGAGTTTCTTTTTGGCTTGGAGTAGTCGGTAAGCTTTATGCTTTAGCATCCTTGCATGCGTGTGAGTGCTGCCATGAATAGCATGCTTACCATGAGGCTATGTGCTTATGTGATATAACTGCCTGAATGCCTGTGGGTGAAGGTTGGGTTACTTAAATTGGAATAAATCATCAAATGTTTTAAAGCCTACTGCGGGTAGCAAACCATTTTCAAAAACAAGCATGAAATGTTTTGTTCCAATTCAGGCGACTCAATCTATATTTGTATGCTGTGTGCATCACATATTAACCTAGGCTAATAAACCGGAATAAGAACTCGCAATGTTTTCAAATACGATATCATGGTTAGTAGAGGCCGGTCTATGATCGGGCGAGCGGGGGTGCTCACGAAGTGACCTTCCCCAATCGTACCCAAGTTCCCGAGCCGAGGCAACTTTGGTGATGACGGACGCGTGGCCTTTTGGCACCGAGTCAGGTTTCCTAAATTTCCCAAAATAAAAATATTTAGGTGGCGACTCTGTATCTGGCAAAGCAGTCCATGTTTGACACTACTTTTTCAAAAAAAATCAGTTTCTCAAAACGATTTGCCGAATTTGGACTCTTCGTTCAGATTAGGAACCGTGACATTTAAGAGTCCGAGCTGTAGTGACCCCATATGAACAGAACGGGACTTAACCCTCCCGGGGCGTTCGGGGACGTCTACAACATCCACCAAAACAATAGAACCATAGTATAATGGATTCAACAGATATATAACAATTAAAATAAAAGCTTTCTTCACACTTGAGGCGCCTAAGGTAGCCATCCCTCCTTGCTGCCAACTTCCAGAATTTAGCAGCACCTGCCCAAGATAGACAAATACATGAGTTCCAGAAGTGCCAGATATACAACAGCAGGTAATACACAACAGCTGCTGTATAAATGCACAAACACACAATATATATTCTCACTACACTCGGCCCACTATTTAGGATCTCACAGCACTCAAAAATTATCCTTTCCATGCGACCTGCAAAGAAACCAATT